TAAAAATATGTATTTACTTATTTTTATGTAATATCAAGACTTTAAAGATAATTGTTTACCAAACTTGGAACTGAACTTAACTTTCATGCGTGTCATTTTGGGGCACAAATTTATTCTGTACATATGCAATGCCACCAAATTGTTTTCCCTTTAAAGTATTGTAACACTGTCTCCGAAATGTATAATTAGAACTTTTGCCAAATCTTACTTTTCCTTGGGAATTTGCTTAGTGGTTGTCAATCAAGTAAAAATAGTTGACTTTTGAGCCTTCATTGTTGTCCTTGTCTGAGGAAATTTTTCCTAAGCCTTTATTGTAGGCTAAGCAGCCAAAGCAGCCTTGTCAGGCCTTCACATGACATCATTCTTCCTCCCTAAATCCAATATCAATAAAAGCAGAAAGTTTAAACTGTATATGGAAACAATGTAAGAAGCGAGTGCTCTTGGCTATTGTTGAATCTTTGCGTTATCTCTTCAAATCTCATAAATCTCAAGATATCTGATCTGTTCATTCAGTCTGTATTTCCTGAGCATATCAGTATGATGTTTAGAGAAAAGTGGACACATTTCCCATAACTACACTTCATAATATACACTCCTGAAATAAAACAGAAAGGCAGTTGCCTTTTTAAAAAGTTTTTGTTGAGTATCTGACAATAATCCACTCTAGATTGAAATTATTGAAATATTCCTTAGAATGGTGAATATCTCATGTTTTCGGTCTTAGGGCAAAATCTGTGAAGCATATAGCCTGGTTAGCCTTATTTTTGTCATACACAATTTATACCCCTAGCCAGGGTATTTTCTCATTCACATTTTTTTGTGTCTCAAAACATATATCGAGGACCTTCTTTTTGTCAGCCACTCTGGCAGGGAGAGTTTAAAGATGAGCAATTTATGCTGCCTGTGGTCAGTATTTTCAAAATTAGATTGAGGAATTAGGCTGTTGAAAACATGGCATGAAATCTTGTGTCTTGCTCTATTACTGACAGAAGCACAAGCAGGACACGGAAGCAGAGGTGATACCAGATTAGTTGGAAAGACGGGTTTCTGGAAGGGGTTTCTATAGGTAATGTCTGAGGAGACTCTATCCCTTTGTTTGTTACGGTATGCTATCAAGTAGTAACCCGCTATCAGACACATTAGCATGAATTCACATGAATGTCACGTGAATGTATTCATTTTTGTGAAGGTATTTAGTTTGCAAGCATTTTCTCCTGAGTGGATTGAAAGGCTTTGCTTTTGGCAAAAATAGAGGCTCTTTACTTTGTGTGATCCTTTCTGACAACCTATAGTGGACTTCTCTCCTGCAAACCATGTTGTGACTGGGTGTATAAGCTCATACGTATTTTTTGCATACAGCTTTTAGGAAATCACAAGCTCGAAGCCTGGTTGCTGGATTCCACCTTCAAAATGGAAAGGCTAAAGATCACTTGGGAGTCTTGAATGGGTGGAAGAACTATCACTTAAAGTTACAGTGTAGGGAATCATGATCTTGGATTGTTCATTCTTACCATACATTCTTCTATAAAATGTGTTTATCTACTGCAATAAAAGCTATTTGTCTTTCTTGGTCTTTGATTTAAAAAAAAAAAAATTGTACAATGAATGCAAATAGCCTTCAGAAGAAAAACAATACCTGTGGTTTTCCATGTTAAAAATTGTTCTTCTTGATATTTTATTTTGGCCTGTTGGTTAGCTCTAACCCCATTTTTGACCATAGGAATCCAAGCAGGATTCCAAACAGATAGTAAATATTCTAATTGCACTTGAGCATTTCCTTAGTATTATCATCTATAACCAGTTTCCTGTATTGCTTTCAGTTCTGATATCCCCAACCTCAAATCACTGCATTAAATGGGCCTAATGAATAATAATTCATACTCTTTTAAACTATTTCTAATTTTTGTGGGTTTTTTTTTTGATGCAAAACAATTCGAAAATACCATAAAGAAAAAAAAACCTCCAAAGTGGATTTGAGAATTTCAAATATCTTGGATACTAAATAATAAATATGTGTTAGATTATAATGCAAATTCTAAATCCGTGTAATATAGAGTGTGTGGTCCAGTTTGCTCTACCAGTGCATAAGTAAAGTACTTCAGCATGTAAAAATAAATAGGACACTTACATTTAAGCAAAAGATGAATGAAGGAAACCCTCAAATGTGTGCAGTATATGAAGAAAGAAATTGTGCATTTAAAACTGTGTGATAGGTTGTAATTTTAACATGGCTTTTTTTTTCTATTGATAGTATCGAAATTTAAAGATATATTTGGCCTGCAGTATATCAGGTCTGCTCACAAATGAATTGGCTTTGTCACTCACTATGGCTTGTTCTCAAAGAAATATTTGGTTTTCTCCTGAAGCAGTTCATGGTGTGTTGAGAACTGACACAAACCATTCTGAAGCTTTTTAGTTCAGAAAAGATAACAGTAGATTAAAAAAAAAAATGGGTGTATGTATTTTAGAACAGTTTTCTCTCCTTTTAAGAACCATCTGGCCTTGTGCCTTTTCTCCTCCCCAAAAGTAGTGTTTTTGCTTCTGTGAAGTGTTATATCCTTGGACTGCTGTTCTGTTTCTGATATAATCCATCCATCAAGAATCCTATTGCATGTGAAAAGTTGTTACAAGAAAATAAAAATCTAAAACACATTTGGGTTTTATTTTACTCATACTACTTTTATTATATAAATGGAGTATGGACAAACTGCATTTTGTTTGGTCGAGTGCCTCAGTTTTCAAGTTAACCAGCTGGTTCAGAGAGGAGCAAAAGTTTATTCTTGCAAAAAAAGTGCTAATAAAGATGATGATCACAGTGACAATTATTTGCAATAGTGGCAGCTTGTTAAAAATGTAGAATCTGGGGCACCTGGGTGGCTCAGTTGTTAAGCATCTGTCTTCAGCTGAGGTCATGATCTCAGGGTACTGTGATCGACCCCGGGCTCCCTGTTTTACTGGAGGCTTGCTTTTTCCTCTCCCATTCCCTCTGCTTGTTTTCCCTCTCTCACTCTCTCTCTCTGTCAAATAATAAATCAATAAAATCTTTTAAAAAAAAATGTAGAATCTGAGGCCTCTCTCCAGACCGACTGTATCAGAGCCTGCGTTTTAACCCGATCCATTGGGATCCCTATTTGAGGTGATAATGTGTTGGAGTACCACTGTTTCCCTGTCTCCAGATGCCCTCAGCACTAAGGAAGAGTGAGGCTCAGTCACTGCCAGTCAATGCCCTCCCCTGTTTGCCTGGTAAACATAGATGATGGACGATTTCAGTAACTAGCAAACTTGAATTCACCTTAAAGTATACAATCTTGGGAGAAAAGTGCAAAATTTATTTTTATGAAAATTAACAAGGCTTTTATAAAAGTGCTTTTTTTTTTTTTTAATTTAGGCAGGCCATCTATTTCTTGAGATGTCTGGTTTTAGGGCCAGTGGAGCATCAGCAGTGTCTGCTAGAGGTATATGAAGCTGATTAGAATCTGGCTTCAATTTCAGGCGTCAAGACCAGCCTCTTACCCAGTGTTGTAAACTGTTCTACAGACCTTTCATGACTTTGTCTCTATGACAGTAAAAGACAGCAAGCCTCTCTCTGGTTCTACAGACTGCCATTTCATTGACAGTCAGGCGGAAGAGAAGAGTTTATGAGAGATTTCTAATTTTAATGAATATTTTTCCTTATAGTGAACTGATAATTCACCTTGAACTAACTTCTATTTTCTTCCTTTCTAGATTTACACATAAATCTAACTTTCTTATCTCATGTCATTTTGTATGAGGGAATTAAACTGGGTAAATAATTTTACATAATAAACTTTTGACCAGAGCCTAAAGTATAGCTTTCAAAATTGAAATCTCAATTTCATAAATTAATTTTATTAACTATTTTTATAGCTAAAATTCCTAAATATTAAGGTTTAAATCTACTAAAAGACAGTGATTTGAAACGTATGGATTTCATCATTTCCTAAAATTTTAATGTATTTTCCTCCTCTCTTGGTTTTGCAAAAGAAAAATTTGAAGAAACACTTGTAAAAGAAAATTTGTAATCCTGTGTCATGAAACAGATATCCCGGAATTTCCAAGGCATCTGTCAGTGTTTTACTATCTCATGATTAATTTATTATCTCTTTTAAATATGCTGTTTCTAAAGTTACTATATTTTGACAACTGGCAGCACTAAGAGATTGATTAGTTTTGGACTCAAAAAGGAAGGATTTTTTTTTTGTTGTTATGTTACTGTATATTTCCGACCTTAAAAGAGAAATTCACATACTGATTTTAAAGCAATTATCTCATTTCTTTCCACAATGGTTTATAGAGCTGTGTTTTATTAGGTAGCATAAAAGACTGGATACAACAGACAGAGTCAGAGGGTTTTCAGGATTTGGGGCAATGATTTTGAAGCTCCTGAAAATATGAACAGTTTTATTTATCCTTAAAGGTCAAAGGTGTAGCACCTAGTCATTGACTAAATAAATGTTGACTTAAATATTATTTTTGGTAATTATTTATAGCTTTTACAGAAACTCAGAAGCAATGCCATCTTTAGAGAAAGTGCGTATAATTGTATAAAAATGTGATGAATAAGTTTCTATAACAGTACAATATTAAGCTGTTACTAAGTCTCCTTCTACTTGTCAGTGAAGACCTGCTGCTGGTCACAGACATCCACTGTGAATTCAAGAACACTTATCAGATTTTCATTTACTTGCAAATTAGCCATGATTAGTTAATTCACTTTCTTTAGATTCCCCCATAAATCATGACCATTTCTTTCAAAGAAATAACTTAAACCCTCCTGTTAAACACAGGTCATGCCCTTCTGCAAGTGGTTCATATTATAGTGAAAAGGTCCAATATTATACTCAGTTATACAATTACTTTCTGAAATACCTGTCTATATGGACAGCATTTCCATATTTTTAGCAATATTTTTCTTAGCTTTGTGTGCTTTGACTTTGCTCTTAAATATTTTACATTTTAATTGAACTTTTCTTTTTTAGCTGTGTTTTGGGGTGATATTGCCTTAGATGATGAAGACTTAAGTATCTTTCAAATTGATAGGACAATTGACCTTACACAGAACCCCTTTGGACTTGGACATACCACAGGTATGGTTGATTATTTGATTGAATTTGTGTTCACTTTGGAGAAAAGATACTCTTGAAATGCTTTAAGTATTCTTTGGGTCACTTTTAATGTCCTGCTGATCAACTTTGATTTCCTAAACATAAACAAACCTATTTGGAAATTTAGATTTTGTTCATAGTTTTAATTTTATTAGTTAATTTCTTTGACAGTTTGTAATGTTTACAAGGTACCAGGCCTGGTTTAAGTGCTTTGCAGATAGTAACTCTTTGGATGTGTATAATAATCCCATGGAGAAGCTACTAATATTATTGTGACTTATAAGTGAGGAGATCAAATCAATTTTTTTTCTTATTTTCTTATTTCAAATTGTATAGCCTTTCCCATAAGTATTTACTTAGTTTGTATATTTGCAGTTTGTTTTTAGAGTATGTAAGAAATAACCACTTATTTTATCATTTTTTCTATGTTAATGAATTACCTACACAGAATTTTTTATAATTTCAATTTCTATAAAAATTTTTAAAAATTGCTAAATTTTAAAGGCATTACTGCCTTTAGTGGTCTTGAAACATTGTTTTTTGAAAATTCTATAATTACTCTTAGCCCTATTATTACCTTAATATTAACTCAGACATTTCTTTTTCTCATAATTAACCTTCTAAATCTATTTATATGTGGTTCAGGCTCTATCTAATACAAAGTACAATTGTTACATTATTGTCATTTCAAACATATAAATGCCATTCTTTAAAAATGTTTCTTATAACTACTTAGGAATAAATACATTGACATATTACCTCATCTTTCTAAGATGTTCAATGAAAAAATTTCAAAAATTTTTCTCAAGTAGCACAACAAAAATGTGACCATGTAAAGCAAATAATCAAGCACGTTATTAGTCAGTGAACAGGCACTCTAACTTGCTTGCCTTATAAGGATGTAATTGATTTTTTGCTCTAGAAGGCTTATATGATAATGGTTTTTGTGATTGTTTTGGTTTTTACTAGCTTTAATCTAGGTAAATAAGTTTTGGTATTAATTTCAAAGGGGGGAAAATATTTTGGAAAGAGAGAGATCAAGGTGCAAGAACAGTTTGTTGTCTTTATGGATTTCTGGCCCTTTCGTTGTCTTCGCCCACAGAGACTCAGGAACCATACTCCCGTGGTATAAATTCCTCTGCAGTTGTTCAATACCATTAGTGGTTATATTGGTTGTTAGCTCGGTGACACCTTCTTGTTATTTGTCTATTGAAAATTCGAAAAAGAAAGGAAAACAGGAGATAAAATTGGGAAAGCATTTTATTAAAGGTCTGGAATGAGAATCAGAGGACTTGGATTTTCCTCAAATGCTCTGGTTTCTGACTTATGACAGGAAATCTGCCTTTTCTAGTCTTTTTCCAGTTGGTGAAACTGCAAAAGGATGTATTTTCTTATCCTGACCTCCTTTTCTACCTTTTGAGCTATAAAATTCTTTACATCGGTTTTTATATGCCGATAACATAGATAACATAGATTAACAGAACATATTTTGCCGCTTAACATCCTTTTGGACTTCTGTAATTATGTGTTATTTTTCTGTAATTATGTGTTATTTTTTAACAGATTTTCAAAACTTATTTTCAAATTGTATTTGAATATGTAATAAAATATGATATGCTTTTAAAAATATCTCAAAATCAATCACAACTTTGGAGCAAGACTTGCACTATACAATTGCTCTTCTAATGTTTTTATTTCCATTTGCTGATTTGGCTTCTGAAAATATTCAGTTTACATTGGAGAAATAGCTGGGATGTAATCAACAGGGCAGAACAACTTGCTGTCATCCTATATAACATGATGTGATGTCAAGGTCACAGAGAAGAAAAATGTTCCAGATTATCAATAGATGACTCAGTTGTCACGATGTCCGAATAAAGTCACTTAGATTGCTCTGTGGAGCACCCCACCCACTTGTTTTTAGTTACCAAAACTGTGTTTGTAGAATGTTTACACTCTTCTAAGATTTATGGATATTCATGACTCTAATGTTCTAAGACCACATTCAAAAAAAGATGTCTAAAGAGAAATCACTGTAGCCTGTTGGTATGGTTTATTTAGAAGAGATTTAACAGGCAATGAGTTTAACCTTACTATTTTCTTTTATTCTTAAGGTGGATTTGGAGACCATGGTATGTCAAAGAAACGAGGGGCCCTCTACCAACTTATAGACAGGATAAGAAGAATTGGCTCTGGTATAACAATGTTTAAAGTTGCAGATGCTTGACTTGATGTACAGTAAATATTATACTAATAGCAGTTCAGTTTGTCATTAATATGCGAAGGATGAAAAGGGTATATGCCGAGAAGGAGTCCTTTATTCATTTCTGTTAGCTGTTGTTTAATGTCAGTTTTTTAGAACTTAATTTGGGACCGCGGAAATGTTTCCTTAACTTATTTTCTGCTTCTCATTACAAAATGCATTAGGGGGTTATTTTACTGGTGGTATTTACTTCTGGTGCAGTGTGTATCACACGAAGGTGTTTTATCGAGCATGGAACTACATCAGTTTTAATCAAATCAAAAAAAAGTCATGACTGTTTTGAAATATATTCCATGTAAAGTAAATCGACAAGCCTATTTGTTAGCTTAAAAACTGAATTTAAAATGTTTTGACCCTTCCAGAAGTATACATAGAAAATAGCCTTCTGGTTCCAAAATTAGTTAATACTCACGGTATTGAATGTTTTACACTATTTATAGATTGCAGAGAGTTTTAAAAAGTTTTCTGTTCAAAGTGTGTCCTAACATTTTTTAAATTGGTGAATTATTACTTAAATAATTGACAGTACACACTTTGAAGGAATTATTTTCCCAAGCGAAGGTGCTTTGTCTCAGGGTATTAAGAGATAGACCTGTTAGGGATGTGGAAACAGTGGGCATGCATTCAATGTTTGTTGTGTCTGAAGTGTATTCCAATAGTGGGATATTTGGATCAATAGTGATAGATGAATAAGAATGGATAATAATGCAAATTTAGGAAAAACAAAAATAGTAACAAAAATATTTTGAAAGGCCACCAAGAAGATTAATGATTACAGACTTGAAAGCTGCTCCAGGAATAGGCCACATTTTATGTTGGCCTGTTCACATTGTGTACTGGTCTCTAAATAGTGCTAAATCACCTGGATCTGAATCCAGAGGAAATTAGAACAGAGATATACCAGCATCCCAGGAGGCTGAAACCACATCTGCCTTAACAGTATTTCATTTATCCTCTCTGTAATTTTCATAATTTTAGGCTGTACTATGGAATATCAGTCCTACTTTAAAAGAATAAAGGATTTAGCAAGAGTTAAGACGAGTTTTGAATATCTTGTGACTTTTTAAACAATGTCTATTTATCATCTGGTGGTGAATTGGCAGTGAACTCATAAATTAAAATAAATAAAACACACCCCTTTTGTGGGCTACCAGTCTGCCTGACATCTATCCACTGTAGGCTGTTGTATGGGAATTCATAAAAATTTGCTCATAGAGCATTAAGAAATAGTGCTTTGACATCAAGTACTTCAATATTTTAATACTGTTGCAAGTATGTAATATAAATGAAGTTTTTCTTTAGTGCATTTTGACTTAAGGCATATTTACACAAATATGTAAATAAGACATTTTAACTTAGTCTTTTAAGAGGAAATGATTCCCTGACCAAGGACTTCTGTTTCACAGAATGTTTTAAATGTCACTGCAGGCTTGGAGCAAAACAGCACAGTTAAAGGAAAAGTACCTCTAAAATTCTCAGGGCAAAATGAGAAAAATCGAGTTCCCAGAGCTGCGACATCAAGAACCGAAAGAATATGGCCTGGAGGTGTTATTCCTTATGTTATAGGAGGCAACTTCACTGGTAAAATATTCCCGGAGTGTTTATTTTTATAAGGAAATATTATAGAGATTAAGTGTGTATTGCTCCAGAATACTAATCTATAGAATATAGTATTAAATCAAACATGAGAAATACTTCACTCATCTTGGTTGTTGGTTTAGAAAGTCTTTGAAGTTGAAAAATATGTTTAGTCTTGAGTTCTAAGAGTCTAAATTACTGTTCCGGTTTTTAAACTGACTTGCAAATGTGCCCATCAAGTCAGGAAGCTGATTTCTCTTCAACTATCAGGAAGAATGTATGTCTTGTTGATAAAGCCTTGTACACCCATATCTGTAGGGATAGTGAGCTTGAACCTTCTGATTATAAGGCGAGTGTCCATTCTTAAGAGTGGTCACCTGTGGTGCTCTAGGCTAATAATTGTTGGTTGATGAGAGTGATGGCATCTGAACTGCCCAGCCAGACTCGGGATGGAGAAGCCAGCATGTAGCACTGCTCCCCAAGGCAGACATTTTATTTTATTAACATCCTGCCATTTTTCCAGGCAGTCAGCGAGCCATGTTCAAGCAGGCCATGAGGCACTGGGAAAAGCACACATGCGTGACTTTTATTGAAAGAAGTGATGAAGAGAGTTACATTGTATTCACATATAGACCTTGTGGGTAAGTAGAACCAGGGAATGATTTAAGCAAGTGTAGAAGGGAAAAAAGAAAATCCTGAAGTAGGATTTGTTTCTTAGTATTTGCCTCGTTAGCATTTTCCCATAAGACTGTGAATTTTACATAAGAAAATATATTTTAAATAAATATATTCTTTGATCATAGACCTGTGTACATCTACCCCAAGTGTATTTCTCCACCACATCAAATACTTCTTCTCTTCATGTTGCAACTATATCAATGGTATTGCCACCGTCCCACTCATCTGAATTAGCAACTTCAATAATATTGTCTGGGAGTCTCTTGTGCTCCCTCTAAAATCTATGCAATAAGATTCCATTGATACTCACTGTATCTTTTGATTTCTACCTCCGTCCCATGTCAGTGCCTCAGTCCATTTGTGTCTTCGTCATGTCACACCTGACCTATTCCAAATGCTCGACTGTCTTCCCTCATCAATTTACTGCCCCTAGAATTACCTTCAAAGAATACCGGTCAGAGCAAGACACCACCCTTTTTGAGATCCTTCAATGCTGCCTCGTAGAGTGCTGCTTTCTAGATTGGCTTCTTACAGGATGATAAATACTCCCCGAAACAACTGTTCCATAAGATGTGAAATGCTGTGTTAAATTTCAGTAGATATTTCTGCAGCAATGTGCTAATGAACATTATGAATATTCAACCCATCGAAGAGAATATAACAGGGTTTTTTAAACTTATTTAAAAAACGGAACATCCATGCCACTCTTTTAAGAGTGAAGAACATATATCAGTATCCCGGAACACATTTTGGGAAATGTTAGCCTGAGAATAAAATCCGAATTCCTTGCTGTAACATTTAAAGAATGCCATGAACTTACCACAACTTCCATGTGCAGCCTCTTCTGCCACCACATCTCATAATCTAGCCAAGTTACAGTAATAGCAGTTCTCCAAGCAACACTGTATACTTAAAGACTTTCTACTGTGAAAGGTCTCAAACTTCTCTTCCCTCTATCTCCAGTTAGTCGGAACTTACATTTAAATATTTGATGAAATTCACATTGAACTTCTGCTTGTTCGGGAAGAATACTTGATAGGATTTGCTGCGTCCTTGACATGGCATGCCCTCTGGAGGCACGTGGGTTAGCACTTAGCGATGTTGCTGTTGATCGCTGGATTCCAGTGGTGACGGGCCAGTTCCTCCATTGTAAAAGTTCCCATCATTGCAAAATAGTGATTTTCTAATGTTGTTCTTTCCTTTTAGTCCTTTTACACTTATTAGCTGGAATCCTCTGCAAAGAGGAATTTTCTCTAATCAGCTCAAACTATTTGAATACCCTCTAGTATAGTTTTTACATGGAAATAAAAATAAATGCTTCATTCCTTTGGAGGAAAGAATTCTTGCCCCAATCACATATATTTTTTTCTGGGAGAAAATATATATGTCACTAGGTATTGGGGGAGGATTGTGTCGTCTGGCTTTGTTCTACCACATATTCATAGAACATTTAACCTCACTTAAAAAGTAATAGATTTTAATTTTGACCATATCTGAGTGGCATTAAGAAAAATTATACATGGTTACCTTTCTATATTGTTTTCGATAATGTCATAATTTTTTAGCTTTGACATGTTCGAGTAATGTTTTCTTCTAAATCAATAAATTTTAGCTTGACAAGTTTTGGTTACATTTGAAATGCCTCCTAGTTCTTGATATCTAATATTTAAAACATCCAAATCTATACTCTCCTTCCTTCCTTTTGGTTATCTAATAGGAATGGATACAGCTCAGCTTACATATTTCTAAATACATAATGTATTCAAATCAATACATCTTTGCTTTATCTTCAATTTTGTGGAGTCAATACAAACAAAACATTGGCATTCATTACTTTATTGATAAATTTGTTTGTAACAAATTTGTATTTATACTCAGTTTCTTTCATTAATTTTATTTTTTTCAAAATTTTTTATTTTACTTGTTTTATGCTACTAGATTATTTTTCCACATTCACTATCATTTTTTCATGCATTTGCTTGTGCTTTTCTGCTTCCTTGTAATGTCTTTGCTTCCATTGTTATCGTGGAAATGGTTCACATTTCTGAGCCACCCTCAGTGTGACTTTGCTCTACCTTCAGCTATATTATATTAGTATTATATTACACATTTCCACTGTTGGTTCATATGTCTGCCTTCATCTGTGATGATAGGTTGCATATCCCTTCTCTCTTCACAGCACCCAGTACACTGCTTTATAGATAGGTGGTCAAGAAAATATTTGTTTTAAGATTTTATTTATCTATTTTGACAGAGAGAGAGAGAGAGAGAGAGAGAGAGATCACAAGTAGACAGAGAGGCAGGCAGAGAGAGAGAGGGGGAAGCTCCCTGCTGAGCAGAGAGCCGGACACAGGCTGATCCCAGGGATCTGGGATCATGACCTGAGCCAAAGGCAGAGGCCTAACCCACTGAGCCACCCACGTGCCCTGATCAAGAAAATATTGACAATTTACACATCAGCTGAAGCACATTGTATGTAATTCTAAAAGAAAAGAATGTAAGAATTTAAAGAGGTGTTGAAGAGCATGCACTTTAACGATGACTTTAATGATTTTAGAGAAACGGAAACTGAACTTGTGAATTCCCCTCAAATCCTTAAATCTGTAATTATACTACTGAAATCAAACTTTTGAGTATTTATATATACATATAATATATAATATTATGTGACTGCTATAGTAATACTGTTGCATTTGGTGATTTGTTTTGTACTCAATTTCCTTATATTGTATTTTCAATGATAGGAAGGATGATACTTTTTGTAGGAATTGATCATTGTCTTGCTAATCATTCTAACCATTTTTTGACTTCTAAATTTCATTTGGAATTACCATTATTGGCCATAGTTTCACGAAACAGTTATTTTATCATTACGGGGATTTTTTTCTATGATAATGCTGCATTTACATCTTGTAAAAATTAATCAGAATTATTAAAGAGTTTGACAGTTGGTGTTGCACAAGACATGAGGGCCACTGCAATAAGATCTATGTCAAGTTAAACACATAACACTCCTATTGGACTTTGGTATTGTGTCCTTTATCTCATAAGAGCTGTTGCATTTAATAATATCTAGTATAAATCTCCACTGAATATGAAGAGCCTGTAAGGCAGTGCCATTGATATTGATGGCAACATTTGCCAGTTCTGTTTCTGGCTTGTAAGATGGTAGGCAAACACATCTTACCACTTTATATCACTTTCACTCTTTTTTGGGGGAAGATTTTATTTATTTATTTATAGATAGAGAGAGAGCACAAGCAGGAAGTGGGGCAGAGAGAGAGTAAGAGAGCATCCCAAGCAGACTCCACACAGAGCATAGAGCCTGACGTGGCGCTCTATCTCATGACCCTGGGATCATGACCTAAACAGAAATCAAGAGCTGGGTGCCTAACTGACTGAACCATCTAGACTGTCCCTCACTTTTATCATTTTTTATTTTAGCTTACCCACTAAGGCAACTTGTAGCTATTGTAGTTTTTAAAAATAAAAGCTAAAATAATGTCCTCCATATTTATAGGAGAATTATTAAATATGGAGCCACTTTTGTACCATTTAGAACACTGTATTTCCCACCTTATTCTACTAGAACAGCTTTTATGCAATAAATATTTATTGGGTGCCTAATTCCATATCAAGTCTTTGGTAAATGGGAAAATGGTAAAATTTAAAAAAAAATAAGGTCGAGGTCAGAACTTTTTAGCATATGATATTTTTGATCCATCTTCAGTGGGGCATGTACTTTAACTCTCCATATATTGGCAAAAAGTTTAACTTAACTATAAATATTTTTTCAATGAATATTTATTGTCATCAGTGGCATATATTGTACAAGATAAGTAATCATTATCAGCAAAATATGAGATCACTTTATAAAAACTAGTTTGATTTATTTCTTTGTAACTCAGAAATTTATATAGCTGAATTTGTCTATTGTACAACTTTATATTGCTGAATATCCTCTACTTAATTTATTTTATTTTTTTACAGTGGTACATTAGTTTCACTAATGTAATCACTAATAGTGATTACACAATTCCGTACATCACCTGGTTCTCATCACTAGTGCCCTCCTTAACCTACTTAGCCCAATCCCTACCCTCTTTCCCTCTGGTAACCATCAGTTTGTTCACTATAGTTGAGTCTGTTATGGGTTTATCTCTCTCTCTTTCTTCTCTTTCCTCATTTGTTTTGTTCCAAAATTCCACATGTGAGTGAAATCATATAGTATTTGTCTTTCTCTGACTTATTTCACTTAGCATAATACTCACTAGCTCCATTCATGTTATTGTAAATAGCAAGATTTCATTCTTTTTTAATGGCTGAATAGTATTCCATTGTGTATACATACCACAACTTGTTTATCCATTGATTAGTCAATGGACACTTGGCTGCTTCCATACCTTGGCTATCATTTTCTAAATAATGCTGCTGTAAACCAGAGAAGCATGTATCCCTTTGAATTAGTGATATTGTATTCTTTGGGTAAATAAGTAGTGCAGTTATTGCATTGTAGGGTAGTTCTATTTTTAATTTCTTGAGGAATCTTCATACTGTTTTCCAGAGGGGTCATACCAGTTTGCCTTCCCACCAACAGTGCATGAAGATTACTTTTTCTCCACATCCTCTCCAGTACTTCTTGTTTCTTGTGTTGTTGATTTTAGCTATTCTGATAGGTATGAGGTGATATCTCATTGTAGTTTTGATTTGTACTTTTCTGATGGTGAGTGATGAAATATTTTCATGTGTCTGTTGGCTATCTGAGTGTCTTCTTTGGATAAATGTCTGTTCATGTCTTCTACCCATTTTTTAATTAGTTTTTTTCTTTTTGGTGTTGAGTTTTATAAATTCTTATATATTTTAGAATGTAGCCCTTTATTGGATATGTCATTTGCAAATATCTTCTCCCATTCAGTAGGTTGCCTTTTAGTTTTGTTGACTGTTTTCCTTCACTGTGCAAAATCTTTTTATTTTGTTGTAGTCCCACTAGTTTATTTTTGCTTTTGTTTCCTTTGCCTCAAGAGACATGTCTAGAAAAATGTTGCTATAGCCAATGTCAAAGAGTTACTGCCCATATTCTCCTCTAGGATTTTTATGGTTTCAGTTCTCACATTTAGGTTTTTAATCCATGAATATGCTCTATCTTCTACTAGATAGTTTCTTGAACAATCTTACTTTTTTCCTATCCACTAATTTTTAATGATTCTGTAAAAATAACTAACCAAGCAAATAAACTTAGGGTTAATTAAGTTAATTTAACTATTTTCTAGATTTTGTATTTTAAATTGTATTTAACTTTGGTCAGTTTAGCGCTTAGATTATGGCAACAGCCACTTATTCATCCTTACCTATTGAATTTTCATTTTGTGCCACTTACTATACTAATTTTGGGAACTATACTATTGAGTGTGAGGTGTTTTTCTCTCTAGGAAGTTTACAGTTAGGCAGAGGAGGTGTGCTAGCCAGGATTCTTGCTTGCAAATAACAGAAACTGGTTAATTTAAGCAGAAAAAAAAATGACTTGTTGGATTATTAGATAATTTATAGAATCACACCAGTGGAAAAAGTGGAGAGCCAGGTGGAGGGAGGTATCTCAGGAAGAGCATGTTTAACCCCTTGTCATAGACATCTTCACCACTGCTTTGGATACTTCTCACTCACCACCAGAGTCTTAGTTCATTCCTGTACTTTTGAGATCTGTTCTTTCAACAAATATTTATTAATTTATTTATTTCAAAAATTATCTTTTTCCAGTTTTATTATAATATAAATGACATGGAACACTGTATTTATTTAAGGTGTATACTGTGATGGGTTGATATATGCATATTTTGTGAAATGATTCCCACAATAAATTTAGTTAACCGTCATCACCTCCCATAGTTGCAACACTTTCATTTCTTGTGATGAGAACTTTCAGATCTGCTCTCTTAGCAGCTTTCAAATATATGATACAGTATTAACTTTAGTCATCATACTGTACATTACCTCCTCAACACTTATAACTGGAAGTTTGAACTTTTTGATCCCCTTCTTTGACCCACCCTACTACCTCCCACCCCAAGTGCTTGCAACCACCAATCTGTTCTCTGTATCTGGTGAGTTATACTATGTGCCTGACTATATTTTATGGACTAGAGATATCAGTATACAAAGCATGTAAATTGTGTTTACAATTAGCTTACATTCTAGAATGGGGAGTCAGGAAAAAAAAAAGGAAAATCAATGAAATATAAAATGTATTAATAGACTATAAGTTCTAGGACAAAAAGGAAAGCAATATAAATGAGACAGAAAGGTATTTGCACAAAAATTTGTAAAAGAATATGAAATGAGCCATATGGCCATGTGGGAGAACAGAGTTCCCAATAGAAGAAGTACTTAGCCAGGAAAAAGACTTTAAGACAAGAGCATGTCTGTATGCTGAGGGCACAACCAGGACACTGCATGGCCCAGGAGGAGTAATTGCAGGAACGGTAGTAAGAGATGGGACTGGATGGTAAGACATTTGTGTGTGAAGATTGTGTGGGATCTTACAGATATTTGTTAGTACTTCAGATTTTCCTCTGAGTAAAAGAGAAACCTTGTATTGGTCAGCTGACATGGTTTATGTCATTTAATACATGACCCTTCAATCCCAGTGGCCTTGAATAACAAGCACTTATTCCTTGTTTATACTGCCTGTCCATCACTGGTTGGCTGTGTCTCTCTCCAGAGTTAGCACTTTAGAATTCAGTCTGACAGAGGAACCTCTCTTTAGAACATCACAGTTGTGGCAGATGAAACAGAGACAATATTGCCAAACATACTGACTATCAGAGATTCTCTCCAGAGATTACACAAAAGTTTGTGCTCACATGACATTATCTGGAGCAAGTCACATGACCAAACTCAGCCTTAGTGGAGTAAAAAAGCATGATAATCTTCCTGTAAGGGGTAATGAGTATTTTTGAACATTGACACAATTTGCCATATAAGCATTGGATAATATTGGGTAGAGAAGAGTCATGATATGACTTCAAATTTTTAAATTACCTTAGTGTTGAGAAAAGACTGATGTGGGGAGGACATCTTTGTGGATGTCATGATGGATTATCTAATAGGTAAAATCCAAAGGTGCTTTGGTCCTCCAGTCTGAGGCAAACGTAAGGAATAGCAGGTTTAGATTAACTGATTATTTTCTATGGCTTAGGGAGAGGTGTGGTGAAAGTTTTTCTTGAGAGGACTGATCTTATAGTGGTCAAGCTTTAAAAGCAGCACACAAATTACAAATAAAAAAATTAAAAGCTGTATACAATAAAAGGACATAAACCTGAGCGATATCTGAAACTAAGATAATACCTAGACATGCTTAAACTACATTTTTATAAACCTTACATATTACCCTGTCATTCCATACCTAATTATATGTGCATATAGTTAGTTATTTACTCATCTGGGCATCCAGAATTATTCTCTCCCTAGAACCATAGGAATCAAAGCACCACATTTTTCTTCTTTCATAGGATCATTTTAAAAGTCAGTGGAAAATATATTTTTGTTTTCTGTTATGGAATCCATCTTATTTATTGGAAATTGCTATGGGTGAAATTATGCTTTAAAAAAGTGTTTTAAATTAAATAAGCTGACAACATTGCTTGACTATCTCCCAGATTTTGATTTGCAAAGTTTCTTCTTTGAATGTAACCAGCAAGAATGACTCAGTGTGTATAATTTAGTTGCTATGTAGTCATCAAATATTTCAGTTTAACTACCGTTGCTCTATGGTGGCAAATTGTTCAGTTTAAATCTCTCAAAAATTTGTAAATTTTGTGTTTTTCTACATCAAATACTTTACTATTTGTATATATAGTAAATATTTGTGTATAGATTAAAAAATAGTATTAAAAATGGGGACAAAACCAGAATTTCCTGATTTTTTTTCCCTATTGGTTACTTCTTTTTTTCTATTACTGATTTATTAAGCTTCATTAACTGTTATAATAGATCATAAAAAAGTGTATGGTGTAGGTTAAGATGTTTTAGGCATTTAAAGCCTACAGAAATAATTGGAATGACAACTGTTTGTATTTGCAAACCATTAAAAGGACTATCAAATATACTTACTCTGGAAACTGAAAATTTGTGAAATTTCCTTTTAATATTTGGGCGATTAATTTTTGGCAATTTCCTCAGTGTTTGGTGTCTTGTGCATCACAATTCCCAACTATTCAAGACCAATTATTTACTGCCCTCTATTGCTGTCTCAAGTGGTGATCTTCTATATAACCTACTTTAATGTAAACCTTAATTATTAAAGTTTTAGATATAATTTTATTTGTATTTACAGATCTCATAATTCTACCAGTTATTGATTTTTCTCCACCAGTTAGCTATTAACATTAGAAAATTTACCTTTTGAAACTAGTTTTCCTCCATTAATTCATTCTTTTAAAAGTTTTCTTCTTCAAAATAAATTCTACCATGAATAGGAAAATAACTCCTTTTTTGATGAGCCATCTTCTTTTCTTTTGTTCTTTTTTCTTTTTCTTTTCTTTCTCTCACTCTCTCATTTTTTTTTTCCTTGAAAGAGAGAGTGTGTGTGGGGATGAGGAGTAGAGGGAGAGGGTGAGAGAGAGAATCTCAAGCAGATTCTGCACTAAACTTGGAGCCTGTCATGGGGCTCAATCTCACAACTCTGAGATCCTGATCTGAACCAAAACCAAGAGTCAGGCACTTATCTGACTGAGCCACCCAGACACCCCTAATTCTATTTTTCTTAAAGAGGGAAAATAAACTTCGTTTTTATTTTCAAAACCAAAATAATGGATTATTGCCAGATAACCATAGTGACACAGTAGTTACCTAAATAATGTAGATGGATTGTGAGACTAAAAAAAACTGTATTATAAATGATTGTAGTTTGGTAAATCTTGAGTTTAACTGTATGTTTAAAGTGCATTAATCACCATCATAGATCATTTATATTCTGAACACTCCTAATAATGATCTAAGGCTTATCTTCTAATGTATGAATTAGTGGAAAAGCACTTCCAATGATTATGTGGAGACTTTTGTTGTCCTATACATTTACCAGGACTAGAAATTAGCTGGGTTTATTGAAGAAAGACTGCTCTGCTTCTGAATGTGTTGGCCTTTGTTGTTCATCATAATTATTGAAAGTTTCACTGTAATGTAATTAATCCATCATTGCCATCACCATCTCTGTTTTCTCCTTTATCACAGATGCTGCTCCTATGTAGGTCGGCGGGGAAATGGACCTCAGGCAATCTCTATTGGCAAGAACTGTGATAAATTTGGAATTGTTGTTCATGAATTGGGCCATGTGATAGGCTTTTGGCATGAACACACACGACCAGATCGAGATAACCATGTCACTATCATAAGAGAAAACATCCAGCCAGGTGAGAGGCTTCAGAATATGTTGGGTTTAAGGTTGATGGAATATCTTTTAGTTGTGTTTATACTACTTATGATTTAATTTTTTTCTTAAAAAGTGTGAATTGACTTTTTTTGATATGGTAGAATCAGCATTTTGCTGAATAAAAAAGTGTACTCATGATGGTGTTACATCAAAAATTTTTTTTCCTTTAGACTAGATGATTTTGTATGCATTTTTGTTTTTTTTTTCCCTTAAGTTTAGCTGTTTTATTTCTAAACTTCTGTGCTTTCCAAGAATAGGCATAGTCTATTGAACAACAAATTAATATTATTTAATTTTAAAGCATTTTTAATACTTAACTCTATAATCTAGAAAGGATCCAGGGTTTGGCATGAAACATGCTGCTACCATAGAAATCTATATTATACCAGGGACATTCCTGGAGAAAATTTCAAGGAAATGAGTCATTTCCAGGGTAGTCTAAATAGTTTCTTTGAAAATCCTCTTTAAACTACCCTAAAGATAAATTCTTAAGAATATTTTCTGTAGTTGATATATCATATAACTAAAATTTAATTTTCTCTGATAGTTGACATGTGATAATAGCTTTATTTTAAAGCTTTTTATTTAACTTTCATAAATTAATAAAGATCATTACACTTCAGTTACCAAAAGAAAAATTACGTTTTTTGGAATTGCCTTATAAAGTCATATGGATTTCAAATATCAGGAATGTAAAAATGCATTCTTATTTCCTTATTCATGGTAAGTTTTAAGTTACAAACATTGAATTCCTTAGAATTTCTTTTAGTTAAAAGTATTGATTGATTTATTTGCTCAATTCATATTTGGTACTAATTATTGAAGCATTATTAGATGTTGAAAATGCTGTCATGAAAAATACAAAGCTTACTGTGGGGTATGTGCATATATATATTAATGATTGCAAGTGGATGAGAGAAGCAATAATAGTCATATGGTGTGAAAACCACAAAGTCCAAGTAACGTGACAAAATGCCTTGGCAAGTCAAGGGAGATGTCACAAATGAACTGAAATTTAAATGTAAAGTATAAGTGTTCAAAGTGCTCAGAAGAGAGATAAAATTTCTAAGCTGAAAAAGACATGATGATGATAGCTATAATTATAGAAAATTGAATTTTTTTATTTGCTCATTATGGTTGCATGGTAAATTGCAAGTGGGAAATAGTTGGTAATTACCAAAGGAGGTTGGATCATAGAGGATCTTCTATATGCAGCTAGGAAACTTAGCTTTTATCTTTTAGCTATTGAAGAGTAATTGAGGATTGAAAGCAGAACAAGTTCAGATTCAAAAAAAGAAAAAAATAATTCTTTCAGCTTTGGGATCATTAACTGAGAATGGGGAAGTGGAGGTAGGGAAGATGAACTTAAGGAAAACTATAAGAAGATTAAATAAGTAACTTATAAAAGATGACTAAGTCCTCAGTCAAGGAAGTGCAGTTCAAGAATAAGAGGGAATAATCTTTCAAAAATATTTTAAGAGGAACACTAACATATGAGGGAAAATCTTTAAGGTTTTGAAGCACAAACAGCAAAGCAGCAGTTTGAAAAGCACCTGGTCCATATGTGAACAGACCCAATTACTAATCTTAAAGTGATCACTAGAGAGGCAGAAATATGTTGGGACTCTTTCCAGGAACAGAAGCACTGGCAGGTGCATTTTTGCAATCTCATTCTACCTTGCTAATGCTAATGCTGGTGGGTGTTATTTTGGCAATCTCCCTCCAACCTGCTAGTGAAAGTAGGTATATTACACCTAACCATGCCCCAGCTATACCATAGCCCAATGGGAGAGCACCCTGGATCACACCAAAAACATGGCCTATTCAGCCAGGCAAGAAAACTGCCCTTCCAAGGCACAGATTTACCACAGGTAGGCAAGTGCCTCATACCTTATGTTCCATAGCCATACCACTGCCAGGGAAGCATCTCCTTTCCTTCTATGCCACAGCCATGGCCCTGCCACAGCTGGCAGGTGCATGGGGATACCTCTGGAGCACCTGGCTCTAGTAGTCAGGGAGTTTATGCCCCTGGGCCTCACACATAATCTTCTACACAAAGCCAATTCTTAGGACTGGGAGAGGCAGCTGTTCTGAAAATCAGGCAAAATGAGACAAAGACATATATTTCAAATGAAAGACAAGACAAAACATCAGAAAATGACTTTAATAAAACAGAGATAAGTAATCTACCTGATAAAGAGTTCAAAGTAATGTTCCTAAAGATGCCCACTGACCTAGGGAGAATAATGGATGAATGCAATAAGAACTTAAACAAAGAGAGAGAAAATATAAGAAAGTACCAAATAGAAGTTATCGAGCTTAAGAATACAATAACTAATGGAAAATACACTAGAGGGGTTCAGTAGCAGACTAGATAAAGCAGAAAAATAGTTCAGTTTACTGGAAGACAAAGGAATGGAAGTCACCCATACAGAGCTGCAAAAAGAAAAAAAAAACAATTAAAAGGTGAACTACCTTAAGGGACTTATGGGACAACATTAAGCAGAATAATATCTGCACATAGGGGTCCTAGATAGAGAAAAGAGAGAGCAAGGGACAGAAAACTTATTTGAAGAAATCATGGATGAAAACTTCTCTAATTTGGGAATGGAAACAGACATCCAGATCCAGGAAGGCCATAGAGTTCCAAACAAGATGAACCAAAAGAGATCTACACCAAGACACATCATAATTAAAATTTGAAAGTTAAATATGAAGAGATAATCTTAAAAGTAGCAAGAGAGACAAGCTTGTTACATACATGGGAAATCCCTAAGGCTATCAGCAGATTTTTCAGAAGAAACTTTGCAGACCAGAGAAGGGTGGCATGACCTATTCAAAGTACTGAAAGGGAAAACAACAACAACAAACTTCTGACCAAGAATACTTTATCCAACAAGATTATCATTCAGAATTAAAGGAAAGATAAAGAATTTTCCAGAAAAACAAAAGCTAAAAGATTTCATCACAATGAAACTGGCCTCACAAGAAACTGTAAAAGGTCTTCTTTAAATAGAAAAAGCATAATGGTAATTAAGGACAATAAAACATATGAAAGTAAAAATGTCACTTTAAAAGGAAAATATATAGTAAAGGTAGTGGATTAATAACTGATAAAGGTAGTATGAAGGTCAAAAGAAAAGGGTAAATTAACTAAAACTAAAATAATCAGTTAAAAGATACATAAAATAAAAAGATTGAAAATGGCATATCAAAAACAAAACAGGGAGAAGAGTAAAAATATAACTTTGGAATTTATTCAAATTTAAGTTGATGTCAACTTCAAATAGACTATTAAATACATAGGAATATTATATGTGAACCTCACAGTAACCACAAAGCAAAAACTTGTTGTAAATACCCAAAAGAAATTGAGAAAGGAATGTAAATATAACACTGAGGAAATATATCAAACCACAAGGATAGAGAAAAAGGGAAGAAAGGGACAGAGAAGAATTATAAAAACAACCAGAAAATGGTCAACAAAATGACAATAAGTACATACTTATCAATAATTACTTTACATGTAAATGAACTAAATTCTGCAATCAAAAGATAGAAAGTGTGTGAAGAGTTAAAAAATATGCATCTATATGCTGCCTGTAAGAGATTCACTTAAGAACTAAACACACAGACTGAAAGTGAAGGAATGAAAAGAAAATATTCTGTGCCAGCGCAAATAAAAAGAAAGCTGGTTTGCTACACTCATAGATAAAATATGCCTTAAAACAAAGACTAATATAAAAGACAAAAAGGACACTGCATAATGTTAAAAGGGTCAATACAGCAAGAAGATATAACACTTATGAATGTGTATGCCACCAATGTAGGAGCACCCAAATACATAAATATTAACATATCTAAAGGGAGAAATTAAATACAATTGTAGTAGGGGATTTTAATGCCCCACGTACATCAATGGATTGATCATCCAGACACAGAATCAGTAAGAAAGCATTCACTTTAAATGACACATTTGTTCAGAAAGACTTAGTAGATATTAAGAGCATTCCATTCTAAAGCAGCAGAATACACATTCTTCTCAATGGTACATGGAACATTCTCCAGGATAGATCACATGTTAGGTTGCAAAACTAGTCTCACTAAATTCAAGAAGATTGAAATCATATCAAGTGTCTTTTCTGACCACAATGGCATGAAACTAGAAATCAATTATAAGAAGAAAACTGAAAAAAAAAAAAAAAACCCAAAACGCAAAAATGTGGAGATTAAACAACATGTTACTCAACAACCACTGAGTCATTGGAGAATTCAGAAGAGAAATTAGAAAAAAATATCTAGAGACAATGAAAAATAGAAATATGATATACCAAAATCTAGGGGATTCATCAAAAGCAAATATAATAGGTTCATTTCACAGCGACACAGGCCTATCTCAAGAAACAAATAAACAAATGAAAACCTCAAATAATCTAACTTTATGCCCAAAGGAACTAGAAAAAGAAAAAAAAATGAATCCAAAGTTAGTAGAAGGAAGGAAATAATAAATGAAATAGAACTTAATACACAATAGAAAAGATCAATGAAACTATAAGCTGGGTCTTTGAAAAGATAAACAAAACTGATAAGCCTTTAGCTAGATTCACAAAAAAAAAAATTAAAAAAGAGAGAGGGGGAGCTCAAATAAAATCAGAAATGAAATAGAAGGTATAACTGATACCACAGCAATCCAAATGACCATTAGACTACTATGAACAATTAAAGATAAAGCGAATTGGGCAACGTAGAAGAGCTCATTATGTTCCCATAAATGTATAATCTTCCAAGACTGAATCATAGGGAAATAGAAAATCTGAATATACTAATTATTTATAAGGAGACTTTATCAGTAATTTAAAAGCTCCCAACATACAAAAGTCCAGGTCCAGAATGCTTCATTGATAAATTCTATTGAACATTCAAAGAAGTTGTAATATCTATCCTTCTCAGACTAATAAAAAAAATTGAAGAGGAGGAAAT